ATGGAACCAATTGCCTTGGGAGGTGGTGAGCACTCCAATGATAGAAGCATTCAAGAGAAAATTGGACAATCACCTGTCAGATCTACTTTGATTCCTGAATTGAGCAGGAAGTTGGACTTGATGGCCTTATAGGCCCCTTCCAACTCAATTATTCCATGATTCTATTATGTTATAATGTGTGCATAGTTCAAGTGAGATGCTCAATCATCATTTTAATGCAGGTTTTGGGTAAACAGATTGGACACAACAGCTGAAATCCATTACACCTCGGTTCTTTCCAGTCCAATTGCATAAGGAACCGATCTATAAGTTTAAAAACAAACTACACTTAGATGAAATCAATAATAAATGTGGAAAAGAACTCAGTTGGTATAAATTGTACTGTCCTCTGTAGGATATACTCTTGCATGCAAAACAGAATTATCTGAAACATAAGACAGTTCAGGGTAGAAAGAAACACAACAGTTAACAAAACAAGAAGTGAACATTTGCCAACATAATTTCGCATATTCATATTTATTTATGTTTTATGTTTTCTAAACCGAAGAACCTTAGGAAGCAAGAAGCACTGATTTAATTGCACTGAGTGTGGGACATTACCAATGGCACATGAAAAATCTAAAGTCTTTAGCAAGAGATGGGGAATATCAGCTTCAAGGTACCCTACACGTTGTTGAGCCCTCTTCATAGCTACTATTTTAAAGTAAGGTCAAAGAGTGGCAAGCAGATTGTGCACTGCGGAGCCCTTCATAGAATTGCGCCGTCTGCGTCAGATCGGTGAGTGGACCGTCCAGCCCCATGGGGCTGGATCCTCGTTAACACCACCTGTGCAGGGATATTTGTATTCGTATACAAATACCCCCATCTCTAGTTAATTTGCAAGTATTTCTCCCCATCTGGATGCTGTAACATTATTACAAGCATACCTGTGGCAAAAGCATGTTCTGAAGAGCCCAAGAATAATATATTTTATGGTTTATGTCAAGCAAATACAATTATGCAAAACTGGCCACATTCACATGCCAGAAAAAAATATTTAAAACAAGGTCGGGGAATGTATAGCTCTCTAGATGTAGCCTGACTGTCGCTCCCATCTGCTCTAGCCGGCACAGCCACTAGCGAGGGATCATGAGGGTTGCAGTCCGACATCACCTGAAGAATCACAAGTCCCCCAGCCCTGGTTTAATGTAATGTGTATGATCAGAAGCAACTGCAGAAAGCCTTGAACTTGCAAACTTTTCCTTTCTCCCAGCTTTCAGGACACTTTTACTTTCACTTTTCAGATGTGCCATGTTGTCTAGCATGATTAACTCTGGTTAGCACAGACAATGATTAATTTCAAACAAGCCAACTTCAAACTGTTGTCGCTGACCTGGCTTACTAATCACAATTTTTGGTTTGGGTGACAAAGAAAGACAAATATCTCAGCTGGAAAACAGAGGTGAAGCGAACTGTTTGCATTCACAGTTGCCTATGATTCCATCTTTCTTATGCATGTGGTTTAAAATCATGTGCCAACATGGTCTGAGCAGGAAATACACTGCAGTCACCTTCCATGTTCTCTTTCAAGTTTCCTAAGTTGTTCAACTAAACCCGGTTCCCTGGTACCAAAAGGGTGATCAAATGCGGTGCACCTAATTCCAATAGCATTTATTCCTGCATAAAAGTCTGTAGGATTATGGTCCACTACACAATGAGTTCGGGCATTTGTTATGTAATATTTCAGTAAGCATGTATAGCCAGAATTTATGAAAATTTTCTTATGTAAAACAAACAATGTTAGAGTCCTATATCTTCTAAAGAACAGGACAGATCAACTTCAGGTTTTAAAAAGCATGTGGTAGGTAGAGTTAATATTTTCAGATTTTTTGGACTACAATTCTCCTTTCTCAGAGTTCTACCTGACAGATACCTCACAGATATCTAAATGTGGGTCACCTGGGAGAAAGATCTCAACTGGAAAGCTTTGAGGATTAGCTAAACCTACCTAGGCTCCTATTCCTGCCCAAGCTAGGAGCTTCCTTTCTGAACAGGAAACTAGGCACAGAACAGACTCATAGCATCTACAATCCCGTCATCAAATAGTATTCTGATTCAAGAATCCAAATGTTTTAACTTTTAGTTTGACTGCTTCTTCCTACCGTGTTTTCCCGAAAATAAGACAAGGTCTTATATTAATTTTTGCTCCAAAAACACATTAGGGCTTATTTTCAGGGGAAGTTTTATTTTATTTTATTTTTTCATATACAACAATCTATATTTTTTCAAATACAGTCATGTCATCTTCTTCTGGTTGCTGCACAATGGTGGAGGGAGGGCTTTCACTTAACTGGGGCTTTTTTGGGGAGTAGCGCTTATATTACGAGCATCCTGAAAAATCATACTAGGGTTTATTTTCAGGTTAGGTCTTATCAGTAGTAGTTCATGGAACACTGTTTTCAGAGGTTATGCAATATCAGGTGCACCTTTATCATTCCCATTTAATTCAACTAGCACCCAATATGCATAAAGCCATCTCTGTTGACAATCACAGCTCACTTAAGAAAGTTTATCAACCTCTCAAAAAAGTTCTTAGCTGCTAGGACAGACATGTGGTAGCCTGCCTTCACCTCTCCAAAGTTCACATCTGCAAGCTGAAACTTATCCATTAACACAGGACAAGTAGTGGTCATAGTTACATTCACAGGACCCGTATATATTACAGCAGCCAAGTGAAAGCAGATATTAGTGTTTTTGCCTGCAAAGTGTATGCAAGATCAGCATAAAACTCCTTGGCAAACTGTTGCAAATTAAGAAGTTAGTGTACATGTTTACTGTTCCATGCCCAGTCACACAATCTGGTGCATGACTGCATAAGAATAGGATAACTTCTTAACTTGCAACTATTCATATCCAGGAAGTATGTCAACCAAGTAATGCTGAAGAGCAAAACTAATAGGATTTTGGCCAATAGTTTCCTTGTTCACAATTTTCCCACTGAAAATTCTTCTTTGGTTGCTTTCCTATTTTCCCTAACAGGATTTCTAGCCAATTTCTTGAAACAACTGGATGGGAAAAGATGCATGTAAGGTAACAAGTGGAGGAAAGGTTAACATTCCTTTCCCTTCCTCTGCTTCTTATGGGCTGTAAACAAAGAATCTAACCCCAGTTAATCAACTCCATCTGTAGATAGTAAATTGATGCCTGGTTGGAGGGGCCATGTCCAACATTCAAAATGGCTTTGCAGAATGGCTTGAAGAAAGAGTTCTTAAGGATTTGTTACCTCTAATTCTCCATCAGTACTGAGCAGAAACACTGCCCCATGCACAAAGTTCCAGCCACGACTGGAACCAAATGGGTGGCAGCACTAGCTGCACAACCATGCAGACATGCAGCTTACAGAGAAACTTGTCTGCAGCTGTGAAGTAATGCCCAGTTTGCCCTTCGGTTCCACAGGATCTAGAGCATCACTGAACAAACTGAAGGGAATTTGGGGCCAAATTTGTGCCCTTCAAACTCTCCACGGACTGCACAGAGCCAAGAAATGACAATTTTTAGTCATTTCATTTTAAAATAAGTAAACAGGGTATGCCCAGAGTTTATCACTGGGGACAGACCCCACCTGATGCAAAAGGTAGTAGCTTTCACATCCCTTTTGGGCTGCAAAAATGTGCCCTGGAGACTGCATTAGTGATTAAAACATGAGTGGGAAACACTGAAGATATTTTTGAACTACAACACATTTCTGATTGTTTGACAATGCTGATAGCGGTTGGTGATCACTAAAGCTGGGTGAGGAAGCAGGGGACCTGCTGCAGATTTAGAGAATATTGTCCTTAGTTGTACAACACTTGTGATTTTTATTTATATAGATATAGATATAGATATAGATATAGATATAGATATAGATATAGATATAGATATAGATATAGATATAGATATAGATATAGATATAGATATAGATATAGATATAGATATAGATATAGATATAGATATAGATATAGATATAGATATAGATATAGATATAGATATAGATATAGATATAGATATAGATATAGATATAGATATAGATATAGATATAGATATAGATATAGATATAGATATAGATATAGATATAGATATAGATATAGATATAGATATAGATATAGATATAGATATAGATATAGATATAGATATAGATATAGATATAGATATAGATATAGATATAGATATAGATATAGATATAGATATAGATATAGATATAGATATAGATATAGATATAGATATAGATATAGATATAGATATAGATATAGATATAGATATAGATATAGATATAGATATAGATATAGATATAGATATAGATATAGATATAGATATAGATATAGATATAGATATAGATATAGATATAGATATAGATATAGATATAGATATAGATATAGATATAGATATAGATATAGATATAGATATAGATATAGATATAGATATAGATATAGATATAGATATAGATATAGATATAGATACAGATACAGATACAGATACAGATTCAGATACAGATACAGATCCCCCAGAAGGTGGTGATTTTGCCCCCTCTGGCCTCCGGGGGGGCAGGGTGAGTCTCTAAAAGGTCCTGGAACACACCCTAGGACCCTTTGGAAACTCACCCAGCCCCCACACAGCCAGAGGGGCAAAATCGCCATCTTCTGGGAGTCTTCTGAAGCTTCCCAAGCATCAAAAGACTCCCAGAAGGTGGTGATTTCGCCCCCTCTGACCCCCGGGGGGGCAGGGTGAGCCTCCAAAGGGTCCTAGGGTGTGTTCCATAAGATGGACCTCTCCATAAGTCTCACCAATTTTTAGAAGAAGAAAACAGATTATTTTTTCCTGTTTTCTTCTCCTAAAAATTTGGTGCGTCTTATGGGGGGGAGAGAGAGAGAGATGACAAATCTTTTTGTCAAAAAAAACTTATTAAAATCTGAGCATATGAATAATTTCATATCAGTTCAAGCATACCATAAAAGTAATTCTAAAAAATAAGCTGGACTTACCAAATCCAAAAGCACTGGACCCGCCAATACTCTGTGAAGCTTGAACACTTGTAGATGTATAAAGCCCTGTGACCAGTAGGCCATCAAAAAAGGTACTTGTTGAAATAGTCACTGAAATAAATAAACAGAAAGATGAATAAATATATAAATAGATAAATAGATGTAAAACATTCTTAGTTCTAAGAGAAAGAGTTAACTTCTAACCTTATTGACTACAATTTCTCACCAGCACAAACATGTACTGCATATATTTTGGATAACAGTATTCTAGGTTTATGTCATAATATGCATATAATTCAGGCGGCCACTGACTGCACTTTTTCTGCAATAGCCTACAAATCAACAAGCAGCTTTAGTAACATTTACAAGGAATGCCATACTTTAGGTAGTTTGGCATGTATCATAGTATAGACAAAATGTATCTTCTGCATACGGTACTGTGTCCTATAACGATACACCATGAACATACTGAAACAGATGATTTTACAAAAACGGTGCACAGACATCTGGAAAACTGATTGGATCACAATGCTTGGATATGTGCTTATTAAAGAATGTGGCATCCACAATTCTATAAATAACATTGATATACGTGGTAGAAAACCAGTGTTCACAACTTATCACACAAACACAAAAGCTGTCTTCAGTGTTGCACAACAAAATGGAGATGATATGAAAAGGTTACTTCCAGAATTAATTTCAAGGAGATTATAGTCAAACATTGAGTAAAATCCTCTTGGTGTAACTTTGTGTGGCATAACCCAGGGCAAATACTGGATGCATTTGATTTAAAGTAATTAAAAGCTCCCCACCCCACTCCTTTAGGCTCCCTAAGGTTCCCTTTTGTCCCACGAACCTCTGGATATGGGAGAAGGGAAGCTTTTAATAGTAAAAAAAGCTACAGCTGGATCATCACCAGCAGTCTTGATGTTGCCAGTGGCAATCCAATAGCACTTTTTAAAAAAAACTATTAAAGGCTCCCTCCTTGTTGTAGGCTCCCAAAAGGAGCCCTAGGGAGCCTCAGAATGCAAAGGGGAGGAAGATATGAAGCTTTTAATTATTTTAAATTCTTATTTATTTAACATAAATTTAAATAAAATTTATTTATTTAAATTAAATGCTTCCAGTGCCCCATCCATATTACATCAGTACAAGGTTATGTGACAATATTTTGCCCATTGTCAATGAATACCAGAATATATATCCTGCCAAACATAAATGAGATCATTAGGGTATATATGTTCAGAGAAACACAGAATCCCTGGAATACTGTAAAAGCATTCATATAAAACAGAGAATTCCCCCTCCATGCCCTGCTCAGAGCCTTGATAGAAAGAAACACACAGTGTTTCAGATGCAAGTTTTAGAAATCTTATATAGTTTTGATTTCTCTTTTTATATCTGTATTGTAGTGACGCCATAGCAAGACAACCATCTCTGTTAGCAGTTGTTTACATTATTCTTCATCTTTAATGAATCGTAAATAATTGTTATCCTTAATTATCTTTCTACCATGAAGTGGACACACATTGAGCATTACAGGAGCAGGATTTCAAAGTAACAGTGGAAAGGTCACTCATCTCAATCTGCTTCTGAAAGGCAATATTTGACAAGAAAGCTACTAACCTTGTTTTGATTTTAAAAAACCCTTCCCAATATGTAAATTAAAAATGTTACATTATCAGTAAAGAAATGATTTAACACACATACCAGGCTGGTAGCAGAATAGCACCGCATGTAAAAAGATCCATAATGTGGCACATTTCAGATATATTTTGCACAGCAGCTTTAATATACACTACATTAGAGTCCTGAGCAGCTAAGTCTTATTCATTTATGTCAGATAAAATGAAAAGACAGACCTAATCTACTCGACATATTTTAAAGCATTTTCTGGCATATGGGCATCTGGTACTCTTTTTGTAACATTCATTAACTGGAAAAAATAGCAGGACTATTAAGAAGTTGGTGTCAATTTGAACAACAAAATCAAGCATATCTTTTAGCTATTCTGTTTGTCAAACTGCTTGGGCTTCGTGCTGATTTGGATGCTGGAAAGCTTCTAGACACACATGGAATGTAGCAAATACAGTAAGAGAATAATTTCAATTAGCAGTGTGTAAATTTGTTGCCTGAAGAATTCTGGTAACTGTAATCCAAAAACACCAATCCATGCACCTCTGATTTCAGTCTTGGTGGCATGGATTTTGATGTGGATCCTAAGCATGTTTGCCAAGAAGCAAGTTCATCTATTTAAGTGAAACACAGAATAAAACTAGACATTATGAAGAAGAAGTCCAACTCCATGCTTTCCCCATGGACAGGAGCCTGGGGGAACTTGAAGGAAATCCCTTCCTGCCAATACTGCAAATATCCTCCAGACAGTTATAAATAATTCCCTTCTATTACCTTATCTGACTGAAACAATGGTAATATGGAATTGCCTGTTGTAGAGCCATTCCTACTTCTAATTAAGTATGCTCAGAACTACTGCATGTTATTCAAATGAAGAAAAAATGTGTAAGGCTTTTCTTTACTAAATATTTTTTCTGAATAAAGAAAACACCAAGGACCATGGCCTCAGCCTACTTTACTCTCATCAATGTAACAAAAAGAAGCTGTTCCATGTCTATGTTGTGATGCTAACTGATGCAATTTCTTAGAGATGAAAGAGACCAACAGATCTATACAGTACCATGACTTTTTTAAAACCATAACACATAAAGTTTCATCAGATGAAAGCATATTTCAATATTATCCTGTATTTTATTTTTAATTCTGAACATACAAAAACAGTGTCTTAGGAAGATAAACATTGTCTAGCTTTGCTTTCAGATCTTTGTAAACAGGAAGAAGCAAGACACTCAAAGAGAGGCAAGTGCTTCCTTGATGGGTAGAACCTACAGAAGCCCTGCCTCAAAAAGCTACAGCTACACAAGAGAGATGAACCACAGAGGTTCAGTGGGCCAACACATGAAGTGGGTAGCAGGGCACTGTAAGGAATGCAATTCTTTGGACTGGTAAGAACTACAGCACGCCCAGATGCATGGCATAACAATTGGATGCTTTCGACATGCTGCCACTCAGCTGATTGCTGGCATGCTGCCAAAAGCTGATGGCAGGCAGCCTAGAAGGCAAGCAGCAGGAGTTAGCAGCTGGGGTCCCTGATCTGATTCCTTTCCCCCAAAGCATGGGGAGAGCAATGTAAGAAAGTGGCTGGGATAGCTGTCTCACAGGAAATAGGTTGCAAGTCTTTCCACATGGCTGCGAAGATTGTCTGGGACATCAAACAGCAAATTGAGCAGGTGTATCACCGGTACTAGGGGTGTCTCAGGAACTGAGTCATGACAAGATTAAAAAGTGACACAGCATACCTTTTATCATTGCCATCTTTTCCTTTTCTCCTTCTCCCACAGTTCAGCTAATTTAGTACCACAGGATTATCTGTGGAACTTACTTACTTCCCCTTTAATGATCTCTTTTTGTGATATGCTATTAGAAAGACAGACCCTTATTTATTGATTTATTGATATAGGGACATAGAAACCAGTAAAAATTGCAAGAGGTAAAACAGACAATTAGTAAACAACATAAAAACAATTGATAAACATAAAACAGCAGCTTAGAACAACAGGAAAAGACAGTTTAAGAACAACTAGCTTGCTGTTGTTTTATAAACATTAAAAACAAGTTAAAACTGAAAAGTATTTAAAAGTAAGAATACATAAATATACTGGAAGAAAAAAAATCAGGCATCCCTAAGGAAGAAGGGCATTCCATAAAATGCCCACTCCGTGTCTCTTCCAGTTTTATTTCTTGCATGACAGTTTTCCTCCATGGAGGTTAAAGATGGTACAAATCAGGAAAGGGAACCTCTTTCCGGTACGCTAGTCTGGCCCGTGTGGTTCTCCAACTCAGTCCACAAAGACCTGTGGGCCAGGCATGGCCTCTCTGAGCTAAACCACCACTCATTCCCTTTGTTCCATTAATCTTGATGGCAACGGTTTTCAACCTTTTGAACTTTGGAGGCTTTGGACTTCATTTCCCAGAAGTCCCACCAGGAAGATAAATTGCCAGAGGTTCTGGGAGACAAAGTCCAGTATCCAGAAGTCCAAAGGTTGAGAACTGCTATTTTATTACATTTTAATGGTGTGCCAATACGTGGTGCTTTGTCTGAATGGGTTTCATTTATTTTCTGAGTCTATTCCTGGTCTTCCTGCTCCTCTTTTACATTTCCAGTGCACGTTGCAAGAAATTTCATAGATTTCTGCAAGTCTTAGTTTCTTCTCGCAGCCTCAAATGCTGCCTCAGACTTCATTACTTTCTGGACCTGCTCTTTACTTATTGGGTTTATATTGTCTTTCCACATCTGCTCTCTTGGATGTTAGTGATGTAACCCCTATGGTGCTCCCACTGGGTCACGTATAAATAATAGTAACCTTCATTATCTAATGATTCTGCTGAGTGTGTGTGGTTTTTTTAGACACTATATAACTTGCCTGAGCGTAACAGTATTGGCAGATCTCACCTACCATACAATTTTGGCTCTATAATGCGCCTCCTGTTGAAGAGGACTCAAAAGCTAGAGCCTGTTTGTGAGATTAAAGTATCACCTATCCTTGTTTTCTGATTCAGCACAAGGATCACACAGTTGTTTTCTGTTACATTTAGAGAGACAGGCATGCTTGTCTGGGAATAGGCTCCACAATTTTAGAGGGTACAGTATATTGCCTAAGAAAATTATTGTGAGTGTTAATTTTCCTTAGCCGCAGCGAGTTACGCAAACCCTGCACAAGTACCAATAGGTTTCTGGTCAGTCTAGGCAGAATTATATGGTTTGTTGCAATCTATTCTCTTACAAAATGTGGGCGAATTTTTATTGCATAGTACACAAGATCTATATTTAAGGTAATTGTGATGACTGGCAACTGCCAACAAATTTAGAATCTTTCTGCCTTTTTATGAAGCCAATAAAATACTAAACAAATAAACAAGTATATACACCCTTTGTTTCAAATGAATTACTAGATTTGGATTCCCTCAGACACAACTCCTGCTCCATGCTATCAAGAAGAAAAAGCACAGTATAAATAACCCCTGTCCTGTCTTTA